TGAGGTCCCTTCTGAACCTAGCATCTATGAATCTATGAATCTACTCCAGTTAAGGTTTAATAAACTTATTTTTAGTTGAGGACAACCGTGTCTTAGTCTCCTTGCCTGGTATAAGACCCATTATAGCATCACAGGGCTGCAACAGAACAGAGCATGGAGCCTACGCCCTGTAGCACCCCCCAACTGGAGAGCACACAGCTGCATGCAACCACACTTACTTTGTAGTGTTCCAGCCAAAAGGCCCTACAAATACTACCTTTTTAATGTTTTTAATGTTACTCCTGTCTGCACCCCACCTTATATTTGGATAGCTCTACGCTTGAGGATTTTCCCACAGTGATTTTATCCTGCCAAAATAGTGCTGTTTCAGGCTCAGAAAAGAAAAGATTTTCAACAAAGAGAAAGGGGGGGAGGGGAAATCAGGAGGGGGAAAAAGGGGGAAAATGTTGTTATTTTGTAAATCTTTTATTTATTAATATTTTTAATTATATTCTTCACTACCCTAGTGAGAAATAAATGGATATAACTGCTGTGTGTCCACAGCTACCACAGGATAGCCATTTCCTACAGGCAAACAGGCTACTATTTTTTCCATACGCACCTACTGATAAGCACTGTAATAGACCCTATGCTCAGGACAGCTGTTGGTTTAGTTGCTCCAGACTATGTTGCAAAAAAACCAATATAATTATACCAGTACAAATGTGTCCTGAATCCAGGCCCTAAGGGTGAAATTCTAATTGTATTTTAGTCAATGCTAAAACTCCTACTGAGTTAAATGGGGCAAGTTTTCACCCAAGATGTTTTAATTCTTAGACTTTTTGACTGAACAGTGACATACTATTACAACCATAAAGATTAATGTGAATAACCCCACAGAATAATATATATGCAATATTTAAATCCAGCACTTTTATTACCAGTTCAAAGAAGCCAATCCGAATACTGTTTTCTTTCTTGTTTGATGACCTTTTAGAAAGTAAAATGTACAGTTAAGAGATGTATTCTCTAGCCATGAAGTTTATGTTCTCTTCAATAATAATGATTATACAGTGAACAGAATTTAACTCACTTGTCCCCCTTTTTCTTCTTTGGAGGCGGTTCCTCATTTATACAGAAATACCTAGCAAATTAGAAGTTTTAGCATAAATCCTTTATTCTCTTCATTTAATCTCCAGTGTCACATATTACATTGAAAATTTACCCAGACAGCTTCAATTTTAAAAAATTCTACATGGTTTAGACTTGACTCTCAAATTGGTTCTAGGCCAGCTATCTGACATTGTTTTTTCTGCAAGATTTAAGCATTTACACATTGTAGAACAGCTCTAATTGTCAATATATATTGAACATACTGTTTTTTAGGCCTGAGTATTCACTCACAATTGTGCTGGGGGAGGTTGGGAGGGTATGTTAAAAAGGAAACCAGTGACTGCATAAAATCCCCCATGCCACTGATCCTGTAGAAACCACTCTGCCCATGACTGCCCTCTGGTTGTGCTTCATAGGTCAAAGAAGTAGCTGCCAATATTCAGCACTCTTCCCCACCAAGGAGAAATATTTTATGATTCAAAAACATGCAGACTTATGCAGGTGAGTCTATAGTTAGCTTTTGCTTCACAGCACCATGATTAGAATGGAGACTCTGGGTTTTGAGTTTATTTGACATTTAAAAAAAAATGTAGCAATGCACTGAAACTATAGTACTCCTGTATACTTTCTGAAGCCTAAGCACATGATCTATGTAGTGCTATGTATATGAATCTGTTTTCCCAGTAGGACCCCTGTGGGTTCAAGAAACTTCCAGGAATTGCTGGAGGAGAGACACCCTCAGTTTTGGCCTCATGTCATGCAAGATAAATAAAACTATAAAATAATGCTAGTGACTAGTGATGACAGGGATAGACACAAAGGGGAAGTGTTTGTTAGGAAGAGTTGGTTGTTTAGTTCTCATTGCTCTACGTTTTCTAAAACTCTGATCCACAAATCTCAAAAAAAGACTACTTTACCCTTATCAGTTGTATCAAGGAGCACAGCTTAACAAATCAAAGGTATAGCTTTACATGAAATACTGTAAATGTCATACATGCATCAATTTCATATGATAACATCTAACTTCCTTTGATATTCCAAGAAGAATTGATTGTTCCACTTACTCTGGTTTCTCAAAGCCGTTATCTGTTAGGAAAATAAATGCACGCTCTAGTTAATAATTATTGTTAAAGTATATATTCTTTAGCAGACACGTTCTCAAATGAGGGGAAAAAAAAGACCTTAGGACCCCAGGAACCAGAAACCTCATTCTCACTGGTACATCTTATATCGGTCAAATAATTCATTGAAAATAATTAATTCATTGCTAATATGCTCTATTCGCCTTATTTACATTAACAATTATTGTATTTTAATACACCATAAATAAATAGAATATATGACTTGTAATGCTGTTAATTATTACATGAATAACAATTTTCCTGTCCAAGATGGTCAGGACTGCTTTACCCTAAAAGTCCCATTTGGCCACCATGGTTAAGACATGACAATTCTGCAGCCAGCAGTCCACAAGGCTGTGATCCGGTTAGCATTTGTATCCCATCACCTCTGGGCCCCCCAGCCACTGACAAGGCACCCACTTATAGCTAGATCAAAACAGCATTTGGAAGAAGTCCAGAGTGATTCTAAATATTAAGAAAATATGTTAATCTGTCATAGTAAGCAACCAAGTGACAAATAATTTGATTATGAATCATTTTTGCCACTGCTTCATCTGGGTAGTATTTCAGAGTGCTGGTAACTTGGAAGGAGCTGCTTAGGGAAGGGGCTGTGGCTCCATACCCTTTTGTGGCAGCCATCAGAAATTGACAGGGCAAGGGCAGCCCTGAACCTGGAGAGGAAAGCAAAGCTATCACACTGCAGTCCCCTCCTGGGAAGCCTCTGGAGGACTTGTGTATTAAAGTCTCAGGCCAATTCTCAGGCCTCAGCAAAGTTTAGAATCATGATTTGCTTTAATTAAGTCTTGCTATAGCTTGTATGGAAAATCCTTTTCCTCTTATTTCCTCCCCTAGTCAATAACACTGTACTCAGCATGATTACTCCATACCGACAACCATTCACAGAAGATAAAAAGAAATCCTGGTAGCCAGGATCTCTTCTGACTGCCTACCTTCATCTCACCTTGTATTGGAAGCACAGTATTTCCACTGCTTCTTGGGCCTTTGTACATATTCTCATGGGAATGGCAGATGGAATTAGTGGGGGATTTGGGCTAGATCTACAGAAGAACATGGTCATTACAGTGTTGAATACCTCCCTACTTGCCACCAACCAGAAAACCACAGCCAAACTGTTAGGTCCTCAGGCTTCCCTGATGACCTACAACGCATGAGGAGAGTGAAATATGCTGTGATAACCGGGGCCTACAGACAAAAAGGACTTTGCATGCACCTTAGTCTGTGTTAGCAGTAACTTATAAGAATGACCTCCTCTTTATGGAACTGTAGTTCCTTTTGTTACTTTTTCTGTCAATTAGGCCTAATCCAATATCAATCCATTGATTTCTGATTTATCCTCTCCTTATAATATACCATTGTATTACCATTATATTACCATTGGCATAGACTATGGGATTTTCCTATTGCCTTGAGCTGAAAATATGCTTGTGTGTTTCTTTGCCATTGAGTTATGTATTATTAATATCTGACTCATCCACATTCTGAAATAAAAAAGATTATAGTGTCTTATTCAATATAACTTGAACCAGTAGGCAAGCCTGAGTTGTAATGTTTTCAGTACTGTAGGCCTGCTATGAAATTTGTAGTGATAGAATTTGTGAGGTTTTAGTATTACAGTTTACTAGGTTTTTTAATTACATTGAGCTGATACATACATGCTAATGTGTCAGCCAGCTTGGAATCCAATATGGCTATCACAACAGAAATGTTTTGATCTCCTCAGTTCATACAATGTTGGTTTCATCACTGGGATTACTGACAAAACCAATCCTAGCGGGGGCTGAAATATTGAACAAAACATGAATTCATGGCAGTCATTTTGGATTCCCATATGGCAGCTACATGCATGCCTTGCCAGATTGGCAACATGACTTTTCTGACATGGGTGGATCACCTGATACACACTGTTGCCACTTGTGGCAATGAGCTGCCTAATAAAACAAAATGTAGAGACCTTATTGGTCAATTTGTACACTACTATTAGTCATAAAAACAGAATTAAATCTGTACAAGCAGAACAGAGTTGCTTTTGGGTTTTATAATAAAATTAAAACTTACGCACACCTCAAAAGCTGATGCAAAACCCAAGCCAATGTATTCTTATTAACCAGAAGAAACAAGCCCAGAAGAAAATTTTTTTTTCAGACTCCTTACATAGAAAAGTTGTATTTAGATTTTCTGCAACCACACAGGAAAACTTTTTCTGTTGCTACAGTGACTTCCCCACTTAGTATCTGCTGCTCATCTTTAACCCATTAGTATCAAAAAATCCCAAAGAGGGAAAGTCTTTTGAGAATTTTCATTAAAGCTGCTGATGCTTGTCCTGCCACTAAGTTTCTGGACCAATGAGGGGTCCTGTGAGCAAGGCTATAGGAAGCTACTGCAAATTTACTTTGTAGGTCAGAAAGACTGTCAGTGTGAGAAGTATGACTTTGGCTATCAGAGAGCTGGATATTTGAGTCTCTTGCTTGGCTTGAGCAAGGAACATGAGCAACAGCCAAGAAGAGAACCATAAGTTGAGAGTCTGGGACAGCACAGGTCTCCAACAGGCCAACCATGACCCTAACACATGAGCTGTAATGGCTCTTTAAAATTACTGTTTTCAAAATGAATAATAACTGAATTTTTTGTCCTATGCTCAGTCTGACTACGCAGAACTTTCGCCAAAACAATTGCATTTTTGATACCACTTTGTTTTGAGGTCAAAGGAAGTACAGAAAAATCCACTTCTACAAATGTAGGCATTGCAAAGCACCAATATAAGCTGGATGTGGAGCCAGAGTCAAACTAAAACTTTAGTCAATTCAACCCACCATTGCTGTACTGTTTTTACTGTTTTTTTGCAATATAAATCTCATTATTACTTCACCAAAAAAAAGATAGAAATTTTAAACACCTAGAACCCTGTCTTTATTTACACTGCCTATGTAGTATTTTCAATTAAAAGTTTGATTAAATAGTGCATTGTAGTCCGGGAGAAATGCTGAGGTTTGAAAATGGCCTATTAATGCAAAAACTTTAAGAACCGCTGACTCACCCTATATAGTCATATCCATTCTCTCTCTCTCATCCATAAATCTAATTATTTCATGCAGAGTGGAAAAGATTCAATAGGAAGAAATAAGAAAGCTCCTTCAAGGATCATAGAATCATAGAATCATAGAAGTAGGGTCTGAAGGGACCTTGTAGATCTTCAAGTCCAACCCCCT